GGGTTTGTGGGGTCGGGGGCAGGCTGGAGGAGCAGGTGGTGGGCCAGTTCTGCAGGCCCCAGGGGTTCGAGTCTCAGTCGCGTTGTAAAGAGCCCACTCCGGCTTCTGCGCAGTTCATCATTTTGAGACAGGAGGGGCCTCGGCACAGGATGGTGGGTGGAGAGACGCTTCCCGTGGTCTGACATTTGGAAGTTCATGTGGGAGCCCAGGGGAGGAGGGGGGAGGCGAGGACGGGGGAGAGGAGTCCATTGTGCCTGCGGGCTGGGCAGGGGGTGCAGGACATGGGAGGCCCCGTACCTCTGGGAGACTCAGCAGTGGGCACATTGCCGTGTTCTGCAGACGTCGGGAAGGCGACCCAGGAGGGCTTGGATTTGTTCCCTGTCCCCTGGGAGCAGATCGGTGCCGGCCGGGCGACTGGGTGCCGTGCAGTGTGGGGACTCGGAGCTTCCTCTGTGCAGGCGGCTGTCCCTGCAAACGGGCAGGAAGCAGGTCACCCCGACCGAGGGCCGAGCCTGGGTCCGAGGCAGGAGGGCCTGTCCTCTCCAGGGCGAGGCCACGCCCCTTCCTCTGCCTCAGAGATGAGAGACAGGTGGGCTTGTTCCTGTGTGGGCCCCTCCCCGGATAGCAGGTGGGAGAGGACTGCCCCTTCTCGGGGCCTCTCTTCTGTGCTCTGTCTTCCGTTTGACCCTGTCTTGTCCGAAGCTTGGGAGCTTGTGAGGGATGGAGAAAGCACAGAGTCGATCCGACAGCACTCAGACCCTCTGTGACCTCCCCCCACTCCCCATCCTACCTGTAGACACACAGCAACTGGGAGAGTCGCAGCCGATAAGCTCGGTGACGGGCCAAGGTGTGTGCACAGGCTCGCCTCCTGTCCGGGGGGCGGGGTGGGGGCTCACACACCATCGATCGACACTGTAGGTTTTTAAAAGGACGACTTTCAGCAAGCGCTGTGGACACCGCCTCTCGGGGACACGGGGCCGTTCTGGGGGGTTCGCAGAAGCCAAGGGGTGGAAACAAAGGTGTTTGAAGATGCTCACTGAGGCGTTACCTGGACAGCCAGAGAGACCCTGAGTTGAACCCACCCTGAGAGGCTCGCTGCTGGGACAGTGCTTGGTAAATGACGGCGCAACCATATGGCCAGGTGTGTGCATGACGCCTCGAAAAGTGTCCGTTGTGAAGTCCAGATGGAACTCTGGGAAGCAGCTAATGCGATCGGTGAAAACAATGTGTAATCCGATAAAACTGGGTAAAAACGTGGGTGTTTATGGCTGAACCTGGAAGGTGAATGTGAAAATAAAAGTTGCAGGAGAATGGTGCATATAAGTCATTTACAGTTAAATTAATAAGCATTTAATGTAGTCACTGTGGCTCACTTTTATTTTTCCACTGTGAAGTCTCTTAGCTCTGTTCAGAGAAAAGACGTCGGACACCTGTGTAAAAACGTGCTCCCTGTAGGTAACTGAGAAATTAAAAACGGCCCTAGGAAGACTGCCGCATGTCCCCCGTGGTCCCACGCCCCACAGCAGACCCACGGGCGCACACGCCTGCTCACCTCTCCTGGGGGCGGTGCGCCTGTGCGCCTCTGCGAAGACGGCCTCGTAACTGGCGCTTCCCACTTCGGTGGAGGGCGACCATCTGTCTAAGTCATCACACTTTTTCTTGCACGTGATTTTCGGTGGCTGTTGTGTTCCCTCGCAGGGGCTCAGCGGGCCCCCACTGGGCACGTGCCGCCATGGCCGGTTGCTGAGAGCTGTCCAGGCGCTTTCGAGGTAGCTACACCCAGGTGCACAGCCGCCTCTTTGCCTGAAGAAGGGAAAGATGATTTTTAAACAGTGAGGTGTCCTTTTCTCGTTTCTGTTGACAATTTAAAAGCCAAAAGCCCGCATCAGCTCTGCACCTGTGGATGCGCTGTCTTCTGAGAACGTGAGAACGAGGTCACCTGGAGGGGTCCTGTGCGTGAAGCGGTCCCTCAGGCCGGCCTCGCACACCGTCCGGCACGGGCGTCGCCACAGCCGCCAGGCCCCTCGCAGCCTCTCCCAGCGCCTGTCTGACCGTCCCGCCTGCTGCCTTGGGGCTGCGCCGCATTCCAGCGAGAGCTCTTTCACTGGGAGCGGGAGCCAAGAGTATTGGGAAATTTCATATTTGCCTCGAGTTCTGTAAATATTTATACTGTATGTGAAAAGACTTGTGTTTTTCTCTCTCACCCATTCCACTGAGTAGTGCACCTGATTCGGGTGGGTTTGAAGTGAGCCGTCGGACCACCTGCCTGCCTGTTCTAACGTTGGGTGTGTTTTCACTCCGTGTTCGAGCCTCGCCGTCTGCTCTCCAGGCTCGTGCTGGGTGCCGGACAGAGGGCTTCCCTGCTCTCTGTTCTGTTTGGTTCTGTCAGTTGCTCCATCCTCCTGTTTCTTTTCAATGTCATGGGTTTGAACAGATCTGCTGTTTCTTTCTCCTTGTTCACTGGTGCCCGCTGAAAAATTCACCCGGGCTCTTTTCACAGGCGTAACTGGTGTGTGTGCGTGGCATTTCAGGAAACGTCCATCTTCTTCATCGACTTCCCTAAGCGCATTTGACGCCTCAGGGAAGGCGGTCAGGCTGTGAACCTGCCGTCTGTACCCGCGCAAGTGCGTAGTCCCGGGCACTCTGTCCTCGGCCGGCGCTGGCCTGCCTCTAGACCCGGGTAGCAGCGCACCCACCACCAACGGCGGAATAACGGCACCTTGCCCTCTTCCCCTTTTCTTGAAGCTGTCACTGCAGGGCCGACTGTGTCCCCAGGCAGGGGGGAGCTCCCCAGTCCAGCCCCTTTCTCACGGGGACAGTGCTGCTCCCCGGGATCCTATTTACATTATAATTGGCCGCTGGCTGTCTGGTGCAGCTGTTTCAACTTAAACCCAAGACAGTTGCTATGGAGATGGGCGACTAAAAATAAGTCACTACAGTCCTTCCCCCCTGATGAGCCACATTCTGGAAGTGGTTCAGTTGAACAGAGAGTGTGGGGGCGAGCAACCACACGGCCCCCAAATTTCCCTCCAGGGCGAGGCTTATCACAGAGGCCCGGCACTGGGTTGCTGCCGGGGCCCAGCACACATGCACCCGAAGACTGTTCCCGCACAGAGAAGGGGGGGGGCCCTCAGAGCCAGCAGCGTGACCTCGCTGACCCGGATCCTGTGCGACTCTCAGAGGTTGTCTCTCAGTTCCTAAACGCAGTCGGGTAGCACTTATCTTAAAGGCACAGCCAGAAGTTCAAGAACATGTTCGTAAACACGCAGTTGGCAGCGGCACGTGGAGCGGAAGGCACCTCCCGACAGATGCGCCATTGGTTTGGCCAGAAAACGTGTCTGTCCCAGGGCGTCGGGCTGGGACGAGTGACGGCCCCCCGTGGTTTCATCTGTTCTCCGTGATGGGGCGACTCCGGGTTCCTGTGTCACCTGGGGAAATGGCTCCTGACCTGCGTCTGTCCGTCGCCATGGGGACGTGTGGTGGCTCCCAGACGGGCGCTGTGTGGCGTCCTCCTGGCTGTGGGCTCAGCAAACGGGTGCCTCCTGCCTGTGTTCACCCCGCCCCCACTTCTCCCTCTCAGGGTGCTGCCCGCTTTGGGGGGCTTTACTTCACGTGCAGGAGCTTCTCACACCAGGACAGTGATGCGGGGTGACAAGCAGGCGCCGGTCTTGAGGACCCCTCGGGAGCGCCCCGTGTTCTGACCCCCTCGCCGTCAGTCTCCAGAGAAGGCTGTGCTGGCGGCTGGCCCGGGCTCCTGCTGAGGGGCATGCGGCGGATTTTCACTAATTAGAGGTCGTGTCCTCCAACGTGTCTGGGAGGATGCTGCAGTCACAGAGCCAGCGATGGCGGCTCACTCTAATGTCGCTCTGACCGCGCGCCAGGGACTGGTCCGAGTGCTAATTTGTTTACCGGGTTGGCCAAAAAGTTCATTTTTTTCTGGAAGATGGCTCTCATAGTGCTTAGCATTTTTAACTTCATTTGAAACAACTTTGTTAGTGTGTATTGTGACAGCTGTCATATCAGCATGCATTTTTAAAAAACGTTATCAAAATTGGTGACTTTTGTGCATTTTAATATGGAAGATGGAAGACAGTACGCAACATGTTCAGCGTGTTATGTGTATTTTGTTAACACTAGCGTTAGCGGCCCTGCTGGAACCGATTTTCCGTGGCTCTCCTGCTGCGGGCGAGCCCTGTGTGGTCTTTACCGAGGGCTCGCTCTGAGCTGGGTGTCAGCCCGTCGCCGCCCTGCCGTGTAAGTGCCCGGGAGGTGGGCGCGCTCCGTCCCTGTCTCCGAAATTGAGGAAACAGGTTTGGGCAGGGTGTTGGGTGGCCAAGGGTCACGCTGTGGGTGGCAGAGCCATGACTCAAATCTTTGCTTCCAAGGCCAGTTTCTGGCTGGGGACTGCTTGCTGCTGCAGGCTCACAGGGTCACGAAGCAAGGCTTCAGGCGTGGGAGCCTCTGGCTGGCACTTCAGGGCTGTTCGCTGTGGCCTCCTCCAAGGTCCGAGGTGGGAGCTGCCGTCGTCTTCGTCACCGACAGGGCTCCACGGGGCTGGACAGCGGGTCCTGGGCTGGGTGCTGACCTGGGCTCTTTTGAAAACACAACCCAGCCTTCTGCCCTGTGCTTCACCTTGGGCTCTGCCCACCTTGGTTGACCTTCAGCCCAGCACCAGTTGTCAGGCCGACTGTCCCCACATTCGCCGAGCAGTGGTGCTGCCTGGCTGCCACCTGTCGGATGTGGAGATGTGGAGGGCGGCCTCGGAGCGCTTCTCCTACCGAGTCTCGGAGACGCACCCCATTTAAACGCACGTGTACTTGGTCGCGGCAGCGCTTTGTGATGGGAGCAATACCTTCCTGTGAAGGGTTATTGATGTGTGAGCCTTTATTTCTGGTCTCCCAGCCAGGACGTCTGTCTGGTGGCAGAATTGGGGCCCCGGGTGGCACGTCAGGTGTCAGCACAACCAGCCGCTAACGTCAGCATGTTCTGCTTGCTCCGAGGTGGCAGCCGCTCCCTGGTGGTTACCCGTGAAAGGCGCCAACTGGAGACACCCCGAAGGGCCCGACTCCGCTGTCGCGCACAGGTGAGCCGCCGGTTCCTCCCCCGGGTTCCTCCCCCGGGTTTCCTTTCATCCCAGGACAGACGCTGTGCCGCCGGCTCGCCTGTAACGGGCTGAGAATGGGTGACTCTGCCCGGCGTCCGACCTTTGGTGTCTCTGCGCCGCACTGGAAGGAGGAGAAGAGGCATCTTGGGCCACGTGTTAAATACACTGCACCACGTAATCACACACACAGAATCTCATAACGTTCCAAGTAAGTTTAGGACCCTGTGTCAGGCCCCATTCACAGCCGTGCTGGGGTGCAGGTGGGACACCACGTGACTGGTGGGCAGGAAAATAGACTGGCGGGAAGTGACATGTTTGCAGAAGGGCCCGCACACCTCGTTGGCGTGGAGAGGGCTCGCCTTGGTGGGCTCCTCCCTCCCGGTCGTCCCGTTGAAGAGCCGCCTCTTATGGGTGCTCCTCCCCTGTGATGGGCCAGCAACAGGTCTCGTGACACGCTCAGTCACTGCCGCCTGTCCCAGGCTCCTCGTGTGACTGGTCAGTGAGAGACTGCCTGAGGACGAGCCGTGTGTCTGGCTGGGTGGCCTCTGGGGAAGCCTGGGCCGGGGCCTGGGGCCCAGTCCCCACCAGCCCTGCGCCGACACACTTAGAGCCGCTGCCTGCCTGCACTCCCGCGGGAGTCGTCGGCGGGGCTCAGGTGGCGGGGCTCGGGCGGCGGGGAGGTAATTAGCTGTCGCAGAGGTGGAGCGGCACTCTCGCGGGGGGGGGGGGCAGGCAGGCAGGAGGGGGACAGGAGCGGCGTGTCCCCAGCCCAGGAAGCTGCTCCGCTGACCCACTTCTTCAGGCTCCGAGCCCCTGCTTTTGCCGACGTCCCCGGCTCTGGCCTCCTTGCCGGGGAGCCGGGCGTTCGTGGAGCTCCGCTGCACCCCAGAGCCCCCTGGGCAAGTGGCGGCAGCCCTTCAGGGCCGGTGGTGCCTGCACCGTGGGATCGGACTGGGAGGCAGGACGCCACGGGGGCCCCGGGCACCTCAGGGTGGGGTTGGGCCTCTGGGCTCCGGATGAACATCGTTCTCGAATTTATCGGGAGACAAAGCTGAGAGGGGAAGGGAGACCCAGAGGGGATGCATGTTAGCCACAGAGTCCATGTCTGAGAGAGCACACGTCCTCTCAGTCCCCGAACAGGCACTCAGGAGCCTGGCCATGGTCTGGCACTGCTGGGCACTCAGAGATGCACAAGGGACCCATGGAGGGGCAGAGCCCCCTGGAGCAGAGCGGATTGGGGTCGAGGTTATCTGGTGCTGGGTAAAGGCCTGTGTCCTCTTAATCTCAAACTCTCCTAGCTTTCCCCGCCCCCCACACCCATAGAAAACAGAAAGACTTGCTTGGACTCGACTGGAGGGAGCAGAGTAGCTGCTAAAGTGTAGCACAAACACCCACAGTCAAGGCCAAGTGCCACAGGCTGGCTCTGTGGACACAGGTGCTGGGACAGCTCAGTGTGCGGAACGCTCGTTGGGGGGAGGTGCCTATGAGGGGACCAGGTGGGGGTGTGGGGTTGGGCAGAGGGGGAAGCCAAGGCTGTGTGGTGGGCCCAGGGGGTCCCAGCCATTCTCACAGGGACTCTGGGGACCCCCGGCCCATGGGATTGGCCCACAGGTGGCTGGAATGTGGTCGGTTAGCCCCTGGTGGCTCCCAGCTGGCCCACGGCTGCTGTGGGTGCCTGGAGGGGCCGACACCCCAGCAGCGGGAGCCCTGCTTCCTTCACGGGGGGCTGGGCACCTCCACGCCCACCGCCCTGTGTGGCTCTGTGGGGTGCGGGCCTGCCACCAGCTGAGGAAGTGTGTGGAGTGTGCGTCTGAAAGGGCTTGTCACCCCTTGGGGGCCTGGGGTGTCGGAATCCCGTGCTGGAGGGTGACAGGTGTGGCTCGCCTGGGGCTGGAGGTGGGGACCAGGCCCAGGCCAGCGTCGCTGAGGGAGCTGGGGTGATGGGGCGCCTGCCCAAGCTGGTCCCCGCGCCCTGACCCTGTCCCCTCACTCCGCTGTCCCCAGGCCAGACCACCCGGTGCTGCACGTCTCCTGGAACGACGCCGTGGCCTACTGCGCGTGGGCTGGGAAGCGCCTGCCCACGGAGGCCGAGTGGGAGTACAGCTGCCGGGGGGGCCTGCGCAACAGGTACTGGGGGCCCACCCCGCCCTGTGCTGACTTTTCCCTGTGGGCTTGTGCTGGAACATCGACCCGAGACGTCCGCATTACTTCCCAGCCACTGAGTCACTCAGCAAAGGACCAGTGGTCACCACGTGTCAGACGGGGTGGCCTCCTGGTGGTCCTGAGGCGCCCGCAGCAGGTCGGGCCTGGGTGTAGCGTGGCCTCCGTGGAGCTCTTTGGCCGGGCCTCGCTCTCCAGTCAGGGGTACTTCACCTCTGGGGCCATGAGGGGAAGACTGGCGTTTGGGCCACGCCGGGGAAAGGCTCCTTAAAATGGCAAAGCCTTTGTCACTGTGCTTCTGTGGCGTGACAGTGGCATGTCCCGCTGCCACGTGAGTCTGGATGAGGCCGAGTCCCCAACCTCCCGAAGCCCTGTGAACGCTGCGGCTTCCTCCCCGAGCTCTCCACACTGCGACCCTGGGGACGAGATGTGAGCTTGCTGCGCAGACGGCACAACATCCGGGTGAAAGCTTTGATTTTTACGCGTCTGTAGTTTAAAGCCACATGGCTCACTCAGGGCGAGCGAGTAGCGGGCCCGCCTCCACTCGGTCACACCCTCTTCCGTCTGGAGGCCTGGGCCTGGGGGATGGGCTGACCCCGTGTCTCCTCCCTCAGGCTGTTCCCCTGGGGCAACAAGCTGCAGCCCAAAGGCCAGCATTATGCCAACATCTGGCAGGGCGAGTTTCCTGTGACTGACACCGGCGAGGACGGCTTCCGCGGCACTGCACCCGTGAGTAGTGCGGCTTCGGGCGGTGGTGGCAGCTCCGGGGACCTGGGCGAGGAGGATGGACGGCCGCCCGGCGCCCCCCTCCCTGTGCTGCCTCCCCCTCCGCACAAGGAGAGGATGAGGGAGAAACTCCAAAGGCCCTGAATTCGCCCCTCACCCTGTTAGCGTCTGGGGTGTCTCCTCCCGTTTCTTGTTAAAGATGCCGACAGCGGCTAGTGGTCAGGGAGTGCCGGCCGGGTGCTGGGCGTGGTGCTGAGCCGTCCGCACGGATGGTCTTGTTTAGTGTGGACGCAGCTCTGGGAGGCGGGCGTTGTTGCCCCCGAGTTCCCAGTGGGCCGCTGGCAGGTGTACAGGGCGGTTCGAGTCCGAAGCCCGTGCCCTCCCCCGCCGTAGGGCCTGGCGGAGGCGCCGCACACTCCCCCTGCTGCCCCCATGTCAGACCGAGTACAGTCCTCAGAGCCCCGTCCCTCCTGGTCGTCGGCAGGGACGATGCATCCGGCTTGAGTGGTTCCTCACCTGCACACGGGCCTTCAGCGCCCACGAGAGAGCTCGCCACCTGGACGGCCTCGGTTATTCGCTGCTCGCTGTCGCGAACCAGGCCATGCCTGCTCTTTCTGCTGAACGTGGGAACCATGAATATCCGGTTTGCAGACGTTCAGTTGTGTCTCTGGTGATACTTTTAAGCTGGGTCCCCAGCAGGGAAACTAGTAAGTCAAAGACTGGAGCACTTTCTTGATGAGGCTCTTGGCTCTGCGGCCAGAGCACTTCCCAGAGTGTGTGGGCTCCCCGAGTGGGCGGGCGGGCTCCGGGCCCTTTCTCACTGCTGCTCCTTTGCCAGCAGCGCCATGCGCTCCAGAGGCAGGGTTAGGACCGTCCCTCTTGCCCCCGCGCAGTGAGCGCAGCAGGCTTGCGGTGGGGACAGCTGCTCCCGGGCTGGTACCAAGGACAATGTTCTTTCACTGATCTTCCCAGTACTTGTCACTTCTTAATATTTGTATTTTTGTTTCACACAAAAATAACTCTTCCAACATTTATTTATGAACGTGACCCAGAAACATTATTTGGAACATGACCAAATGATTCCAAAATTTCAACCGAAGCAATAAACAAGTAATAATATATGTCTTGTGTGTTTTATTATACACAAATGTATAATAAATGGAAAATGTGAAGAATGACAAGACCCTTGACCTACCGGAAATTTAAAAATATTTTGTGCTGTAGTACTTAAAGCATTGCAGCTTTATTTGGGGCAGAATTAACATAAAAAAATAAATCGCACGAGAATGCGCAGCCCTAACGAGGTGTTGAGTGCACATGCGTGTTTACTTGAAGTTCCGCGTGGAGCCGGCACAGGCCGCAGGGGCCCCTTTGTCAGGGAAGGTTGGGCCCTCAGGCCGTGCAGCAGCGGGCGGGGGTGGGGCGGTGGTGGCCCTGCTGTGCCCTTGCAGCCGCGTTCGCTCTGACACACATGGGCGCAGGTCCTCGGGACAGGACCCCCCTCTCAGACTCCGCCCGGGCAGAAGCTGGACAGCGCCCCCTGTCGCTGAGGGCAGGACTTGGCGGACCCCAGCAAGGGCGCCCCCCAGCTGCAGTTTCATCAGCTTCCTTGGTTCCCATCCGATTTTCAAACTGTCCTGGCCACGGTGGCCCCGAGACGTGGGCTCGCATTCCGAGAGGCCGCTGCTGCACAGCCATCACCACGTGGGGTCTGTGCTGCCCACTCGCCCCCGGACAGGCCTGTGTGAAGCGTTTCTCATGTTCGCTTGTTTTCTTCTGAGGCCCCTGGAAGGAAGCTTGGTTAATGCGATTAATTTGACGAGCAGCTAAAATTTGTATGCTTCTTGGTGGCACATCCCATATGGTAATTTTCGGGGACAGGGGGACACGACCAGATTTTATCTCGTTCAAGCATCCAGTTATTTGGAGGGGGACCCAGCGCACACCTTTGCGCAGATGCCACCATCTCCTCATTGTGCGATTGGCTTACTGGATGGACTGAATTGTGGGCCAGCGGCTAAGCGTGGGCCCACGGCAAGGCACTGGCCGGCTGCTGGGAGCCCCTGTGCCCAGGCTCCCCCGCCCCAGAACCAAGTCCTTCCTCCGAGACTTCTCATCCCTCATCGCCCAGGGCCTGGCTCCCTCCCTGCTCTCCCTGAACAAATTAATTTCTCTCTTCCTTCCCACGCCTTCCAGCTATTATCTTCTACTCTCTCTGATCTTCTCCAAGTCCCTGAAAGAACAGTCTGTGCCAGCGGCTTCCCCTCCTTTACTTCCGTCACCTTGGAACGCTGACCCCAATTTCAGGTCTGCTTAGATACCTGCCCAGGTAGAGGAGGGCGCACCTGCAGCCAGGAACCGCTCCTCCTGGGCCTTCTGTGACCTTCACTTTCGTTCTCGTCCCATTTGCTTTCCCTGCTTGTCCCCCTGTGCCTTTTCGAATCAATTTTTAAAAAACACTTAGGTATAGTCTCTTCTCCCTCATTAAGCTGTCTGAGGTCTGCGTCACGGCTCCTTCCTGCCTCCAGTGGATGTGTGCGGGGTTAGCGAACGCACCGCTGAGCAGGCCTGACCGTGTCCCCGGTGAGGGCTGGGAACCTGGCCAGGCAGGTGCCCCTGCAGCCCCCCCACCTCACGGGATGAGTTCCCGGAGCAGCCCCCCGGCCTCGAATCGCCCACGTTTCCCACGCTACCACCACCACGTGTGGGCCTAGAACCTGAGGCCACACAGAAAGGAATTTCAACTTACTCCTTCCTTTAGTCTTACTTCATTAGTATAGTAAAAAGATTTAGGAAAAAAAAAAAGACAACTTGATTTTTTTAAGTTAAAAAATGAAACTCTTTGAGCTTTTCATTCTAAAACGTTGAAACATTTAAGTCACTGAAAGAGAGAGACTGTCCTGCACTTACTGTTGTTCAGTCAAGGGGTTTTCGCTCCCTTCGCTTCCTCTTCTTACAGAAGCGTCGCGGCTCAGCCTGGGATGGGCGTGGCCGGCCTCCGGCCCGCCTGTCTCGGTGACGGCACCGCTTCCTGCAGAACCTGGACGCTTCGCCCGTAATTCCAGAGACGGTTTCCTTGTCAGAAGGAGTCCCCTCAGTGTGTGGATGATAATGGCCTAGGCTAAGAATTAGCATCAGGGGAGTCCAACCCTGAGGTGTCTCTGGGCCACATGTCAGATACCCCATGACACGTAATTGCAGAACTTTCATGCCGTTTAAGATTTTGTGTTGGGCCGCATTCACAGCCATCCTGGGCTGAGGGTTGGACACCCCTGGATTAGATGCTGAGTTGTGGGGCGGGCAGTGGAGAGGACAGTGTCGGCGTGGGGGTCTCTCAGTGCCGAGTGGCCTCGTGTGGCCAGGTGGCTCCGCTGCGGTGCCGAACACGCATGGGTCTAACACAGCGCTTCCGTCACGCTTTCCACGGTCTCAGTGCCGTCCACCCCATCGGACGTGGCAGTTTTTCCTGTCCTGCACGAGCAAGCCCAGTACTAAAATTCCGCGGCACACCAACAAATGTATCGTTTGCCAGTCTGACAAAAAACCCAGGTGCAGTTTTGATTCATTCACACCTCGCGGCCAGAGTTGTGTTGGCCGTTGTCCCTTTGTCATCTGACAACGTAAGGGAAGGAGGTCAGTGCCGCTGACTGAACGGTCGGGCGTTGGGCGCGGAGGCCCAGATTTAGTTTATGGTCGGCATTTCTCGGTTCCTAGTGAGTTGGCCCACCCCCCCCGCGGTACGTGGAAACTCTCCGTAGGTTCGTAATGTGCCCCGAGAGCTGAAAACGTCTCGTCTGCATTTTTGTGTTTTCACTGGGGCCAAACGCTGTTGACCTTGGGGTGAGAGTTAGCACTCAGACCTCGGGGCTGCAGCTCTGCCTGCTTCTCTGCACGACGAGGCCCCCACGGTGCTTTCCCGTGTGCTTTCAGGTCGCCTCCTTCCCCCCGAATGGCTTCGGCTTGTACGACATGGTGGGCAACGTGTGGGAGTGGACTTCGGACTGGTGGGCGGTTCACCATTCCGCCGCCGACGCCCGCAACCCGGTGAGTAGCATCCTCAGCGTGACCTGCGCCGCGGCGAGGACTTCTGTGTCCCTCGGGCATGTTTCTGTTCTGTGCTCTCGGAACTAACCTTGGACTCTCCCCAGAGGCACGCTGAGTACGTGTGTCTCAGTTCTGTCCGACAGCAGTGCGTGAAAGCGTCGGGGCGTCTTGTGCTGCCGGACCGTGACGTGGCAACGCCGAGGGGGACTCTGCCTGTGAGAACGTCTGTTCCGTCTAAATAACGGTGCAGAGCTCGTCGGTGTTTTATCAGTGTCTGGTGGGGTCTCCTGGGAGGTGTTCGTCGTGGGGCAGGTCGCCGGGGCTTTGACCGGCAGAGGTACTGCGTCAGGAGCCTGCTTTGCAGAACCGACTGAGAAGGGGCGCTTCCTGGGTGGAGGCCGAGTCACCCCGGGACGGTCTCCTGAGCGCGGCAGGGTGTCAGTTCAGTCCCGCGTGCACCTGGGGAATCTGAGACGCCACGGTGTCCGAGTTGTGCCCACTCGGTGTGGGGAATGCTGGGTGCAGCTGGTGTCCCACCCGGCTTCCAAAGCCGGGTCTCACAGTAGGACCCGCAGAAAGTGAGACACTGCGTGGCTGTGAGTGTGGGAAGCACCTCTTTGGAAAGGAACACGTCTGATGTTCCTTCGCTGTGTGAGCAGTTGGGGGGAAAATACTGTGTAAAAATCTGATCTTTAGCAAACTAGATATTCATAAGTTGGGTCGAAGAACGTGTATTTATACCAAAGCCAGCTCATCTGGGAACTGGATGTGCTCGGTTGAAACCTTCCCCTTTGAAAGAAGGCCCAGGAGAGAACGGCAGAGAAAATCGATTGCTTCGTCCCTTCTCATCGGAGGGAGGGAAACGGCTCAGAGGGACCGAGGCCTCTGTCCCACCCTGTGCCTCAGGCCGTTGTTCAGAAAGTGGGGAGCCTTCGCTCGGGGCGCCTGGCTTCCTCCTTGCTGCATAACCGTGGGCTGCGCGTGAGTAACCGGGGGCTCAGGCCTCCTTTCTGGGGAGCAGCTGAAAAACCTGAGCTCTTCCCAAGCTCGTTTCTCCTCCATTTCTCCCTCCGGCAGGGCCAGTGGAAAGAGTGGTCAAAGACCGCTCCCGTCTTCAAAACGGAAACAAGTTGTGAAAATCTGGCAGGGCGTGCGGCTGGGAGAGGCTGCTCTCGCCTGGCACCCTGTGGTTTGGCCTCGGCTGTTGGGGTCAGAAACGGAGCCCCCTCCGCCCCCCCGCAGATAAAGTGTCTGCCTGTTTGGAGGATGTGCCCGGCCCCGGCGCCGGCAGCCTGTGAATGCTGCTATTCGACCATCTGGCGTGGAGCGCGGGGCTCTCGGCTTCCTAACTGCTCGAGTTTCTTCTAGAGACTTACAGGAAAACTCACGCTGTGTTCACCGGCCCAGGCTCTCTCTTGGGTGTTGCTCTTGCTCTGTAGCTTGTCCCCGAGTGAGGCTGTCTTTGTCACCGAGGCCTCACTTCCTAATCTGACTCGGATGAAACTCGGCCTGTGGAGGACTCAGCCCCAGCTCTCTGGGAAGCCCACGCCCATCACCAGCTCTGCAGCTTCTCGTTTCTGTCTCGGCTGCCAGCAGACGGGCCATGATCACCCTCGTCTCGCCTTCTCGCTCTGCCGTGTAGCAGCCTGAACCGCCTTCCTGGAGGGCAGGCCCGACCGTCCTGCCTCCGTGTAGAAGCTCCACGGGCTTCTGGTCTGAAGCAGCAAGTGCGAACTTGAACGTGACTTCTGAAGGCCACAATTATTCAGCCCCTGCTGATCCCCCCCAACATTTAGTTACTGAATGTTCTAAAAAATCAGAAGAGTACAGAAAATAGTGTAATGGACCTGTGTACCTACTTTTTAGATTTCAGGTATCCTAACAGTTTACTGCATTTCTTTTAACCAAAGAGAAAACTAAAACCCCTTCTAGTCAACCCGGGCGTTGTCAGTTTTCCCTTTAAACTCCCCTGGCCAGCACACCTGGCCGTGGTTCACCCTCGTGCTGCGGTGGGGGCAGGGCGCAGTGAGTCGTGCCTGCAGCTTCCACCGTTGTGAGGTTTAAATTAAAGTTTCCTGCCCTCCTCACCTCCCCAGCCATTTATTTTTACCAGTTTGTTCTTAGAAGTTGCTGGTTTAGCGGGTCCGGTCTTGCCCGGAGCGTTTGCCCCGCTGACGACCTGCCTGGTCGGGCCTCGTCCGATTCTGTGCCTTCTGCTCTCCTGCCCCCGTCTCGGCGGGCCCGTCTGTTCTTCCCCTGAGGGTCTGGGAGTAACGCCGTGCTCCCCAGAGGCGAAAAACAGAGCAGTGAGCTCGTCTCCTTGTACCAGGTTATTCTGGGGGTTCTTTTTTTTTAAACATTTTTTTTATTTTATTGATTATGCCATTACAGTTGTTCTATTCCCCCCTTTCAGTCCCCTCCACCCTGCACACCCCTCCCCCACCATTCCCCTTTAGTTTATGACCACATGTCTCAAGTTCTTTAGATTCTATATTTCCCATACTATTCTTGCCCTCCCCCTGTCTATTTTCTACCTACTGTCTATGCTAATTATTTTCTGTACTTTCTCCCCCCTTCTCCTTCTCCCACTCCCCTGTTGCTAACCCTCCATGTGATCTTTAGTTCTATGGTTCTGCTCCTGATCTAGCTGTCCTTTTAGTTTGCTTTTGCTTTAGGTGTGGTTGTTAATAACTGTGAGTTTGCTGTCCTTTCACTGTTCCTATTTTTTATCTTCTTTTTCTTAGATAACTCCCTTTAACATTTCATATAATAAGGGCTTGGTGATGATGAACTCCTTGAATTTGATCTTATCTGAGAAGCACTTTATCTGCCCTTCCATTCTGAATGAAAGCTTGGCTGGATAGAGCAATCTTCGTTGTAGGTCTTTGGATTTCATGACTTGGAATACTTCTTTCCAGCCCCTTCTTGCCTGTAAGGTCTCTTTTGAGAAATCTGCTGACAGTCTGATGGGAACTCCTTTGCAGGTGACTGTCCCCTTAGCTCTTGCTGCTTCTAGGATTCTCTCTTTCATTTTAATCTTGGCTAATGTAATTATGATGTGCCTTGGTGTGTTTCTTCTTGGGTCCAGCTTCTTTGGGACTCTGAGCTTCCTGGATTTCCTGGAAGTCTATTTCCTTTGCCAGACTGGGGAAATTCTCCTTTATTATTTGTTCAAATAAGTTTTCCACTGGCGGCTGTTCCTTTCCCCCTTCTGGTACCCCTGTAATTCAGATGTTGGAGCGTTTAAAGATGTCCTGGAGGTTCCTAAGCCTCTCCTCATTTTTTTGAATTCTTGTTTCTTCATTCTTTTCTGGTTGGTCATTTTTATCCTCCTTCTGGTCCACTCCTTGGATTTGAGTCCCAGTTTCCTTCCCATTACTATTGGTTTCCTGTGCATTACCATTCATTTCAATTAGTTTAGCCTTCATATGTTCCTCTAATTTGTGACTAAAATCAACCAGTTCTGTGAGCATCCTGATCACCAGTGTTTTGAACTGTGTATCTGAAAGTTTTGCTATTTCTTCGTCACTTAGATTTATGGGCTCTGGGGCTTTGAGATCTTCTTGAGCCATTTTTGGTCTGTTCGGGCCCATTAAGTATGAGGAGTGGAGCCTTAGGGGCGGGGCGGGGCCTCCAGGGCGGGGTTGCTGGGTTGTGACACTGTATGTGGTGGCCGGGTCAGAGCCGGGAAATGGTGGCCCCCTCTCCTGCTTCCCACCAATGGGTGAGGAGCGAAGCCTGAGGTGTTCACCAGGGCAGGGTCACTCAGGTTGCTGGATTGTGATGCTGTATGTGGAGGCGGGGTCAGAGCCGGGAAATGGCGGCCGTCTCAGCTGCCTCCCGTTGCTGGGACCCGCTCAGTCCTGTCTCACTGCGCCAGCACAGTCAACCCGCTGCCCTTCACCCTCGCCCGATCCGCCAGTCGCTCACTGGGTCGTGCTCAGTAGGTCGCTCACTGGGTCCGCCCTTTGCAACCCCACACCTGGGACCTGCGCTCCTGAGTCCATCTGACTGAGTTTTCCTGTGCAACCCCGCTCTGCCAGCTGCTGGCTTCGCCCCTTACTGGTCAGGCTGAAGAATTTGTTGTTATCAGACTTCCGAAAAGTTCAATTTTCTGTGTTCTGGCTATGTTTTCTGTTGCTAATACTTTGTTGTCTCTAAACTTGGTTGTGGGAGAAGGCACGGCGTCTCCACCTGCGCCTCCATCTTGGCGGAAGTCCCCCTGGGGGTTCTTTAACACGGAGAGGTGGGCAGATTTGTACCAGGTGTCCCGTGTCCACACGCGTGATTTCCCTGTGAGCGCGTTCTTTCACTCAGGCAGCAGAACCTCCCGCTGCCTGCTGGGCTCCGGCCCCGGGCCTCCAGGGTTGGCGGCCGCACCAGCCCAGCCGCTGCTCCGCTGCCTCCCCCACCCCGGGCCACCCGGCTCCTCCGTGGGTCTCTGGGCCCCTCCCTGGTACGTGGACACCGACCATCGGATTTGGGGCTCACAGTGGTTCACTGTGACCGCATCTTAACCCAAGAGTACTAACCTGCCACGCCCCCATTTCCAAAGAAGGTCACCTTCTGAGGCTCTGGGTGGATGTGAATGTGGGAGCCCTCTCTGACCTGCTACACCCTCCCACTAATTTCCCCGTCTCTGGCTGCTCCTGCCTCGTGGTGTTTTCTGGCAAATGTAGCTTCCCTGCCAGTCCAGGCGCACAGCCCCATGGGCAGAGGACTGGGGGGGCCCTGTGCTCAGAGTCTCTGCTCCGGTGGCCTTCAGTTCATCGAAACGCACCAGAAATCGGCACTGAGGAAGGTTAAAAAGTATACTGTGTGTAAATTATACCTCAGTGAACCTGACCTAAAAATTCTTCTGAGGACACACAGCAAATCCCTTCCTGCACTCGGCAAAGGGTTTACGGGCGCACGCAGTAGGATGGCGCGCATGTAATCACGTGATTCAGAGTGGCTGCCCGCTGCGGTGGGGTGTGGGCTAGGACGCAGGGTAACTGCGGGACCAGCAGGAGAGGGGGTTGTGGGGCGAGGGTGGGGGGTGGGGTGCAGGTGTGAGGCACGGGAGGAAGCACCATGGGGTTGCTGCTGGACTAGGTGGACTCTGTCCTGCCACGGGGGCAGCTGGCACAATGGACTCATGAGCTCTCTCCCCCCCGCAGAAAGGGCCCCCCTCTGGGAAGGACCGGGTGAAGAAAGGCGGCTCCTACATGTGCCACAAGGTAAGCCAAGTCCCTGGGCTGTGTCGCCGTTCGTTCTGGCAGCAGGCTGTGGGTCCATGGCACCCAGCAGCCCCACAGCGCACTGCCTCCTTCTGGGAATTCACACCCAACCCCGTGGGAGCCGGGGAGGAAGTCTGGGCACCGGCACGGGGAGCAGAGGCACCAGAGGCAGATGCTGGGAACGACCCCTTGTCAGTCTGGCCTCGTGCGTCGAATCTGGACCCTTTGAGAGACCAGCCCCGTGAACCGGCGTGCGCCTGGCAGTGCAGCCTTGACTCCCGTGGCTGTCTGCTTCCTGCAGAGGTGGGGGGACGGCTGTGAGTGGGGTGGCCTGGTTTCTGGGGTGGAAGCCTCGGCAGGTCCTAGGCGCGGAGTGTGGGCTTTGTGAAATGTGCACGTTGGCCCTGGGGTCGTCGCCAGAGCGGGCTGTTCTCGGTTAGGTGGAGCGACTTGGAGTTTTTTCAACAACCACTTCAGGGAGTTTGGAAAGCAAACAGCACTTCTTTCCCTTTTCTTTAAATTACGTATTTTAGCATCTCCAGCACTTGACCTTCTGTCTTTCTGCCCCCATGCAAGACGCCCATGCCCCCACTCTGCAAACTGCTGTTACGGGAAGCTTCCCGGGGTAACTCGGTCAGTCCAGGCCGTGGCGGCCTTAAAGTCTTAAAACCACCCGCAAAGGCGCCAAATTAAGTTACTTACTAATCTGGTGGCGGCAGCATCGACCAACTCCGCCCGAACACAGTGGCCCTCAGACTGCATCACACGCTGGAATCATCTGGAATCTGTGAAACTCCGACACCTGGTTTCCCTCCTGCCTCCTTCCCATTTGGGCTCTCGGGAGCGTGCCCTGGGCACCAGGGTCTTTACGTGGTCAGGGCGACACCAACATGGAGCCGCATCCGGGCCCTGGCGCGTGAGGGACTCGATGGAGAGGGCGCGTATCCTCCGTGTGTCTTAGGGTTTTCTTTTTTTTTTTTTAATTTTTTTATTGATTATGCTGTTACAGTTGTTCTATTCCCTCCCTTCATTCCCCTCCACCCTGCCCCCCCATCCCCACCATTACCCCCCCTTTAGTTTATGTCCATGTGTCTCAAGTTCTTTAGATTCTGTATTTCCCATGCTATTCTTGCCCCCCATCTATTTTCTATCTACTGTCTATGCTACTTATTCTCTGTACCTTCTCCCCCCTTCTCCTCCTCCCACTCCCCTGTTGCTAACCCTCCTTGAGATCTTCATTTCTATGTTTCCACTCCTGATCTAGCTGTCCTTTTAGTTTGCTTTCGTTTTAGGTATGGTTCTTAATAACTGTGAGTTTGTTGTCCTTTCACTGTTCATGTTTCTTTAACCTCTTTTTCTTCGATAAGTCCCTTTAACATTTCATATAATAAGGGCTTGGTGATGATGAACTCCTTGAATTTGGTCTTATCTGAGAAGCACTTTATCTGTCCTTCAATCCACTTACTTAGGTGGAGCTCGGGGAGTTGAGCTCCTCGCCTTCCGCTTTACACCTGCAGTTACGAGATGTGGACCAGTTGATCTTTGAAATTCTCATTTTAATTTTAAGTTAACAACGTTGTCCCAGGCCATCTCAGTACTTTTAATTGGTTGTACGCGCATCAGTCTCTAGTCCCAGATTGCTCCTCTAATTCACACTGTTCTGCAGGAATTGTAGGAATCCGCTTGTTGAGGGCGCAGACTTCCCTGAAAACGGCATGAATCTCTTTGCACCACTGTGTCTCCAAACCTTAATTGCCACCCATGCTGTCTCTGACACATGGTACTTTTCTTAATTGAGAACCAAGTTACTCTGTACAAACTGAGGGCCGGAAGATTTTTTTTCTCAAGAAACAATGGAGAAAATGGGGCTTGTGCAAACAATTTAAGCATGAACACTAGAGTATCCCAATGCCCTGCATAGGAATGTGTCTGCTTTCGCATTTCAGATTCTTTGCTTACTTTAAGTTTGTATTTTATAGGCTTTGTAGTTTATTCCTTTAAAATATATTTTAACTTAATATTTGTTTTTATTTTAATTTTCTTATATTTTTAGAGAGGGGAAGGGAGGGAGAAAGAGAGGAAGAGAAATATCAGTGTGTGGTTGCCTCTCTCACTCCCCCTAATGGGGAACTGGCCTGTAACCCAGGTGTGTACCCTGACTGGGAATTGAACCAATGACCCTTTGGTTCACAGGTTGGCGCTCAACCACTAAGCCACACCAGCCAGGGCAAACAGTATTTGTTTTTAAGAAGTACATTTACATGGTACAGTTGGTTTTTGTATATTTATCTTGTGTCCTGAAACCTTGTTTTTTTTAATTTTAATTTTAATTTTTAAAATATATTTTATTATGCCATTACAGTTGGCATAACTGCCAACTGTATTTATAACTGCCAACAGTTATTAAAAAAATATTTTATGCCATTACAGTTGACCCATTTCCCCCCTTCATTCTCCTCCACCCTGCACACCCTCTCTCACCCACATTCCCCCCTTTAGTTCATGTTCATGCGTCACAAGTTCTTTAGCTTCTACATTTTCCATACTATTCTTGCCCTCCCCCTGTCTATTTTCTACCTACCATCTATGCTACTTATTTTCTGTACCTTCTCCCCCTGTCTTTTCCTCCTACTCCCCTGTTGCTAACCCTCCATGTGATCTTCATTTCTATGGTTCCACTCCTGATCTAGCTGTCCTCTTAGTTTGCTTTTGTTTTAGGTGTGGTTGTTAATAACTGTGAGTTTGCTGTCCTTTCACTATTCATATTTTTATCTTCTTTTTTTTTTTTTTAGATAACTCTCTTTAACATTTCATATAATAAGGGCTTGGTGATGATGAAGTCCTTGAACTTGACCTTATCTGAGAAGCACTTTATCTGTCCTTCCATTCTAAATGAAAGCTTTGCTGGATGGAGCAATCTTGGATGTAGGTCCTTGCCTTTCATGACTTGGAATACTTCTTTCCAGCCCCTTCTTGCCTGTAAGGTCTCTTTTGAAAAATCAGCTGACAGTCTGATGGGAACGCCTTTGTAGGTGACTGTCCCCTTATCTCTTGCTGCTTCTAGGATTCTCTCCTTCATTTTAATCTTGGCTAATGTAATTATGATGTGTCTTGTGTTTCTTCTTGGGTCCAACTCTGTGGGACTCTCTGAGCTTCCTGGATTTCCTGGAAGTCTATTTCCTTTGCCAGATTGGGGAAATTCTCCTTTATTATTTATTCAAATAACTTACTTGTTGCTCTTCCTCTTCCCCTTCGGGTACCCCTATAATTTGGATGTTGGAACGTTTAAAGATGTCCTGGAGGTTCCTAAGCCTCTCCTCATTCAACAAGTATTCTTGTTTCTTCATTCTTTTCTGGTTGGTCATTTTTATCCTCCTTCTGGTCCACTCCATTGATTTGAGTCCCAGTTTTCTTTCCATCACTGTTGGTTCCCTGTACATTTTCCTTCATTTCACTTAGTGTAGCCTTCATTTGTTCATCTAATTTGTGAACAAAATCAACCAGTTCTGTGAGCATCCTAATCACCAGTGCTTTGAACTGTGCATCTGATAGGTTGGCTATCTCTTGGTGGCTTAGAAGTATTGGCTCTGAGACTTTGATCCATTCTTCCATTTGAGCCTATTTTTTTTTTTTTTGGTCTTTTCACGCCTGTTACGTATGAGGGGGGGAGCTTTAGGTGTTCCCTAGGGTGAGGCAACCAGTCACTAAGTTGTGACACTATATGTGGGGGCGGGGTCAGAGAGGGAACAATGGCGCTTGCTCCGCTCTCTCTGGGATATCAGTCCCTTCCACCTCTTCCCACGAGCAAATTGGGCCCTTCTGGTGCTGGTTCCCGGGTGGGTGGGCTTCTGTACATTCTAGGGCCCTGTGGGTCTCTCCAACAAACTCTCCTGTGAGGCTGGGAGTCTCTCCTGGCCCCTCAACCCCCACAAGTGTTTTCAATCTGTGCTTTTAGGCTTTATTTCCCGTCGCTGGAGCCCTGGGTTGTGGTCTGTCTTGCTGCCCATTTTCCCCTGGTTTATCTGCACATGAATGTGTGACCATGGTCAGCAGGCCGCCTTGTGCCCCTCACTGGGTCTGCTCCTTGCCTCCCTGCGCCCGGTGTCTGCCAACCACCGCTCTTTCCTGCCCTGACCCCTCTCCGCCAGCCGCTGACTCTGCCCCTCCTCCTGGGCTGGATGCATGGTTGTCGGACTTCCGTACAGTTCAATTTCCTGTCAGTTCTGGTTGTTTTTTGCTTCTGGATTTTTGTTGTCCTTAATTTTGGTTGTGTGAGGAGGCACAGTGTGTGTCTTACCTATGCCTCCATCTTGGCCAGAAGTCCCCCTGAAACCTTGTTAAAGTCATCTATACTAATGTTTTTGTAGATTCTATTGGGCTTTGTACACAGGTGGTGAATATAGGCAATTTTGCCTCTTCCTTTTTAGTCCGGACACCTTTTATGATTTTTTCTTGCTGTGTTGTGTTGTCTAGAACCTCCTGTCCAGTGATGGATAGAAGTAGTGAGAATGTCTATTCACCTAATTTGGGGGCAGGAATCTTAGGAGGCAAACATTTGGCTTATAAATTAAATTTGATAGTAGCTGTAGTGTTTTCAAAGATGCCCTTCATGAGTGTGAGGAAATTTCTTTCTATTCCCAGTTTTTTGAATAGTTTTTATGAGAAATGGATGTGTTTTATTTGGCTGGTCGCTTTTCCTGTAGCTTTGGAGGTGTTGTTCATGTTCTTTCTCAGCCTGTTACTATGGTGAGTTACACTTGCTGGTTTAAAATTTCCAAATGTTAAACCATCCTTGCCTTCCTGGGATACAGCCACTGAGTTGCGGTGTGTTTTCCTTTGCATATGTTCTGGATTGTTTTCTAAGATGTTAGGCGTTTTTGCTTTTGTGTTCATGATGGGTCCGGGCCTGTTATTTTATTTTCTTGTCTGGTGTGGTATTAGTGTGTGGCCGGGCTCACGGGGTGAATGGGAACATATTTCCTCATCTTAAATTTTCTGGA